TCAAGATATACAACGTGAAAGAAGGTCAATGTTGCATTCTTATTGAGAATGAGATCATCAGATGAACATCACTCTGATATGTGTGTTTGAGGGTCCGAAGTCAGCACATGGTTAGCTTAGCACAGTGGTTCTCAAACTTTTTCTGTCAGGCCCCCCCTTTGGAGAAAAAAAAAAGTCGGGCCCCCCCAACACAAATAGTCAGGCTCAGTGGCGGCGCCAGAGATTTATTTTGGGGGTACTGTGGGGTAGCTTGACGTTTCATAGAGGGTGCTCAAACATTTAGGGTTTCCCATTAATGCACCAGCGCTACAGAGGAATGTTCTACTGCAACACTCCCCACACACACACACAGCGTACCCGCGACAGTTACAATGAAGGCTCGATAATCAGCTCACGGCATATAGGTGTAAGCAGGGGTCAAGTGCTATTTTTATAGGTGGTGTGTGGACCTCACATAGGGGGGTCCGGGGACATGCTCCCCCGGGAAGATTTTTAAATATCAAAGTTAAAAGCATCAATCTGGTGCACTTTGAGAGCAAAATGAAGAGATCTATGGATACATCTCTCAGCACCCATTTGAAACAGAACTGGAAACAGATTTACTTTTTCTTTATGGATATTTTACAAATCACCCTTTTAAACTGTATCTTGTTTTACTGTCATATAGTATTTCATACCTGTTTTTCATTTATTCTCTTATTTTTTTATAACTATGATCATATAAACGTGTGCCTCGGAAATAATTGTTTACATTAATGGTGACCAAAACATTTGAGACCCACTGAGATAACACTGAGAGTCCTTTAGCTCACTGAGTCTCTCAGTCTCACAGGAGAGGACTCTCCTCCACCTTGTTGTTGAAAAAACTCCTTATATCCGTTAGCGTAGCTCGCTAGCACCAGAAGCTAACATCAACGATCTCCGGTACCGGTGCGCTATCTCTCTCTCTCGCTCGCGCACGTACACAAAATGGCTTGTTCCACACACACACACACACACACACACACACACACACACACACACACAGAGCCGAGCTTTAATGAAACACAGAGACCCAGACGTAATAGTACTGTATCAATTATTTTCGAATCAATAATTTTTCAAAATATGATTTCTTTTTTTTTTAAAAACCATTTTTCCTCCTGGTCTCTCGCGCCCCCCCTGTCATGCCTCTGCGCCCCCCACTTTGAGAACCACTGGCTTAGCATAAAGCTAATGTGGGGGACACTGCTATAATACTTCCCTTAGTACACTGTTATGTTGTACACTGTGAACACTCGCGCCAGTGTTTGAATTTCAACTGTGAAGTGTTCAGTTTCCTCACAGGAAGTGATGATTGACGCTGTGAGCTAGCTTGCTAGCTTGCTAGTTAGAAAGGTTTAACATTTGCACTACCAAATCATTAAAAAAAGTCTGCTCAATTTACCAAATAATATGACACAGCCTTATTTGAACACCAGTAATGTATTTTTGGAAAATAGTGAAAAAAACCTTTATTAGTTTGGTGCTGTGTTCACAATCACACCATGTTAACGATCGCAGCTGTTAGGGCCACTTGCAGTGTGTAGCCAATATGGCTATTGAGAGTGCAAAGTAACTTTTGAGAGTTTTAGTGCACCGGGTGATCAAAGTGCATTTGGCCATACTTCACATTGGGGCGCCCTTAGGCAAATGTACGTACAGACGTATATAGAGACAAACAATAGCCTTGTATTGCCCAATGTTGAACAGCACTCATACCAACACATGTAAAGTGTACCAGCATGTATTCCCTGCTCTGTGTGTTTGATCAGAACGCAGAGCAGTGTGCAGACTAACAGATCTGTGACTGTTACAGACTCAGAGCTGCAGATCGCTCTGGTGGCTCTCTTCAGCGAGATGCTCTATCGCTTCCCCAACGTCGTGGTTGCCCAGGTAACAAGGGAGTCAGTGCAGCAAGCCATCGCCAACGGCATCACAGCACAACAGGTACTCACATACTGCACACAATGGTCTACTACAGATGTGGGGGGTCAGGTAATCAAGGGGGATCTTGACTGGGATTGCAGATTTATGTGAAGTCTTTTCTCTCTTCAGATTATCCACTTCCTACGGACCAGAGCGCACCCTGTCATGCTCAAACAGGTACATGCATCCAATCTGCTCTCCTCACACTTCTTTCTAATAATTATAACACTAAGTGGTTGGCCTTTCATTTATTTAATTGACCAGTTTATTGAACAGTGACGCATTTATAAGCATTGCTGTAAATGCACCAAGAGGCTTTTAAAAAATCTGTAGTCCTTAGACAGATGTTGCAAAGTCACCATAAAGCCAGTTAATCCTCAGAAACAAGCCAAATAGAGTCCTACCATACAGGAAATGCTAATATAACCACACTCAAATGAAACATACGATTACGAAACTGGACACAGGTTAAAGCAGTACAGAAGCACCATACAATTGGCTCAGTGTTCACCCCCCCCCTGTGCTGCAGACCCCGGTGCTGCCCCCCACCATCACAGATCAGATCAGACTGTGGGAGCTGGAGAGAGACCGCCTGACGTTCACAGAGGGTGAGTTCACCATCTTCCTTACACAACTATGGCTGAAATGATTCTAAAGGTTTTGATGAAAAAGAGCCTTGCCTTCAGCTCAGTGTTGTGCTACCACCCTTGGAACGTAAAAAGGAAGGCTGCACCGTGTTAGAAAAAAACCTGGCAATGTTACTTTTTTGGCAGTATGAAAAAATCACAGGAATGATTCAAATGTTTTGATTACGTGTCGCTGCGTCGGGATGACGGCTCTCCAAAAAGTCATAATATATCAATCGCTGTTAGTTAAGGGAGCGCTTGATTTGATATGCAGCACGTATTTTCAACCCAGTTTTGAACAGCGTAGGAATAGGTGCCGTGGCTGCCCAGCCCGATTGAACCGCTTTGAATCAGGCTTTACAATGTGTACTCTTGGCAGGTTAGTGACCATGCTTTTATCAGTGGATGGCCTTTAGTTGTGTATGTTGTTAAGGGCCTAACATTATTTGGCTTTGATTTGAGAATCGACTCTCTTTGCAGCTTCAGTGATATTGTCAAACGTTCCTTTGTCCTGTAGAAAAGGTCTATATTTGATAAATGGGGTTCAACAGAAGTGCATGTGAGCTGACTGACGTCTACAGAGTGGAGCTGTAACTGAGCTGTGGTACACAGTATAGAGATGATGAGTGTCGACCTTGTGCTGACCTTTAACCTCTTTCCTCCCCTGTGCCTCTCCGTCAGGAGTGCTCTACAACCAGTTCCTCTCGCAGGTGGACTTCGAGGTGCTGCGGGACAGAGCTCAGGTTAGTTACGCTCTCATATCTGACACTGAAGAGCACAATATTGATTTAATAATCAGTTTAGATTTAGTGACATTCTTTTCTGTCCTGCTCTCAGTGATAACTTCTGCTGTACACCTTGTTAATACTATAGACCACTGATATATAGTGTGTGGGAGAGAAACCCCCTTTGGAGAAACACAGGGCTTTGAGCCTTTGCACACCAACATATAGAACACACTACAGGAAAGAGAAAACCCAAAAGCATAATAGGCTGCTTTAGAGAAAACTCATCCTTACTTGTAGGCCTTAGTTTTGGACAACAGCCCTAACACTGTACATCAGTGAGTAATTGCTGTGGCATAGATGTGGCATCATCACTACAAATAAATCGATAGGGCAAAAGAGATGAGTATTCAGACGTTCAGAAAGCTTTTAATATTTCATTAAGATTGTTTATTGATTAAGGCAAACTCCATCAGCTGGCACAGTCTCACCTGAGAGCAGGCGCAGCTCAGTAATCACAACATCACTCTTCACTGTGTTTAGCCTGTTGGTTGTGGAGTAACAAATGAAATGTGAAGTATTCAGGATAAAAAAAAAGGTAACTGTATTCTGTTACAGTTACATAACAAAAGATGTAATCAGATTACTGTTACATTTCTAAACACGGAGATTACTAGCAGGATTACAGTGTTAGTCAAAATAGAGTCTGTTGTAAAGTATCAGATGTTATTCCTCTCTGCAACTGTACCTTTGCATTACATTTGATATTGAAAGTCATCAAATGACTTTTATATTTGAATGCTCATATTAGGTTACTGATTACGTTCTCTTACAGGTAACTAGTAATTGTAACAGAATAACATTTGTAAGTAACGCTCCACACTACACTTCTACACTTCTACACTTCTACACTTCTACACTTCTACACTGAAACATTGACTTTGACTAAATGTCATCAGATTTCACATAACTGTATAGGTTTAGTTGAAAGCATTACTATTAAGTTTAAATTAACTAAATTATTGCTTCAACTAACCTAAAGTGATTTGTTATGTGTTGAAAATAATACATTAGAAACCTTTCCACATAAAGGGTCATCGGGTGTGCACTTTCAACAAAGTCAGTCACTGCTATAGCTCCAATACCTCCATCTCCTGACCCCTTCAACCCACTCAACATGTATTCACTCCTTCAGTAGTTACCTGTTGGATGAGCTGTGTATGTGCTGATGCTGTTGGTGTTAATGCTGCTGTTCCTCTGCAGGGCATGGGCTGCCTGGTGTGGCAGGACGTGGCTCACAGGGTGCTGGTGGTGAGTCCACAGGGACACAGCGAGGTGAAGAGGTTCTGGAAAAGACAGAAGTCCAACACGTAGCAGCAGGAAGTGAAACCGCGATGATGTCTGAATCGCAGTTGTTTATTTCTGGGCACTGTTGGAGGAAAGTGGAGATGATGTACTTATTTTGTATGTTTCATAAAATGTTGAACTTCCATGTAGTGTGGATTCAAATCCTCTGCTCATTTCCTTATTGAGAACTCATTTGCAGATAACCCAAGTTAAAATACTGCCTTATATCCTTTGCAAAAATCAATGTATCAATATGAATGATATATTCTGCCCATTTGATTTAACGAGTAACAAGTGGAGTCTTTGACCTCTATGGAACATATTTAGTCATTTGTATTTGCTTTCTCTTCAATTATTCAGTTATATAAAATGTGGTTTTCTTTGCAATATTTTTAAGCATTCTGGTTTTATAATAATGAAACACTACACTAGCACTTTGACACATGGCATCCCAAGACAGCAGAAGTAGAGTTTCAGACAAAGAATTGAATTAGGACCTTTACTCAGGAACACGTTTCAGAAGAAAATCAGGAATTTGATATTTCAGTTGTGATTTATTTTAATTTTAAGATGTCACACATGTAGTTATGAGTAAACAGGTACAAATAAATAGGCAATGCCACACTGAAATGTTAATAATAAAAAATATTGGGACCGCCGGCTGGCTTTGTGAAGTATGTCACTGCAACTACTGAGTGAATAGTATGGCAATTGTGAGTTTGGAGGATCTTTAAGAATGACATTTTATTGATTTGCAAAGATAGCAATGCTTAAACAATACCACATAAACAAAATGGTTATCTTTGAAACTTGGCTTGAAACGTATCATCTTGTGGTAAAAGTAGTTGCAAGCAGGACATTTTTTATTTTCTATTTTATTTAAAAATATTGAGATTATTAAGTATTGTGAATCATGTAGTACAGCCCTTTAAATTTCAACAATCATGGTCAGTAATGGGGGGGGGGGGGGGGGGGGCAGCAATCAGTTTCAGGGACCCCCCTGGCAACAGACTAAATTGTATTTGACATCTACGAAATAAGTTAGTAGGCTACATAAAAACAGCCACACCATGAAACAAAACATATCAAAATTGTGTAAGGGGTGTAAACGGAATAAGAGCCCCCAAGAAGATAATTGCGGGGTGTCACTGTTAGTCTCACGAGCTCCTATACTAAAGCAGCCAGGCTACGTGTTTGCTAGCATTAGCATGTAAAGGATTTCATATATCAAGATCAGCGTGGACATTTGAATTTTAAAGTATTAATAGTTTTTTAAATGGCATGTTTCCAGTGGCTTAAACCGCTAACACCGTGTGGAGCCAGGAGGCTAGCGCTATTTAAACGGCAGCCGGCACAGGCCTCAAATGGAGCCAGGGACGTCGCGTGAAATCCCGAACGGCTCGGGGTTCCCTGAACCGAGACCGGTCCTCGGGAGGAGACCCCGGGGGAAGAGGCGAGAGGCGGCATGTGAGGCGGAGAGGAGCGGAGGGTAGAGCCTGCGGAGGAGATTGAAGCGGACTGTGAGAACGAACCGGAGCACCAGAGAAACACCGGAGGGGAGGAGGAATTGGACCGAGAATTCAGGCATGTTACACCAGTAATCATTTTTAACCGACATAGCTATTAGAGATAGGCTACTGTAGTTTTATTTTCACAGAATAGCTAGTTATATATCATTAACCTTCTGCATATGAACTAAGCGAAGCGTAATAAACATGGGCACACACTGCACCAGCCTGCTCCTCTCACAGGCTGGTACCCCAGCATGGACAGCCTCTCTGTGCCCACACTGAACTCCTAATCATTGGCTTAGTTTACGACATCTGTCCAGCTTTTCTGTACTGTTTTTACATATGTTTTTAATATTAATTTCCCCTTTTGGTTCCAGGATGAGCTGGAGCAACTTAAACCAAGCCAGTTGATGAGATCAACAAGCTGGAGCTGCAGCTGGATGTGAGGAAGTTGTTTGTGTAGTGTTTGTTTATTGACTGTTTATTGTAGTGAATGTGACATGTGTGTGTTGTCTGTGTTGTGCTCCCTGCAGGAGGCCAGGTCCAGCTACAGGAGGATCCTCACTGATTCTGCCAGGAGGCTCAATGCTCAGGGCTCCCAGCTCGGTGCCTGTATCGAGAAAGCACGGCCCTACTATGAAGCCCGCAGACTGGCCAAAGAGGTGCGTGTGGTAGCTGCATGTGCCCATACTGTATTCAATGAACCCCGAGGACACTACTGTCTGTTTCTTTATTGCACAGTCGCATGGGGACTTTGTTTTTCAACTAACCTTGCAATAGACAAGAAGGACACTTGTAACATTGGTAGCTGTACACAACACATGTAGTACAAGTTGAAACCTCAAATTGCTATGCATACAGGAAAAAGAGAAACAGACCTGACAACAAATATACTGAATTGTCTTTTTTATAGTAACACCTATACACCAAACTCAAAAATCGAATACATTTTGAAATCTAATAAACCTAAATCAAGTTCTAAATTGAATACTAGTCCTAACTCAGCACATATTATCACTTTTTCTTCACATTTCCTTTTGAAACTATCAAAACAGCAAAAACATGAGTCATCACAGTCGCTGTCCAGGGTGCTGATCTCAATGTAGAGATACTGTATGTGCACTACATTACATTACATTACATATAACATTATTACAATTACAGTATAATTACATTACATTATTACATTACTTATTACATTATTACATTACATTACATTATTACATTACATTGCATTTAGCTGACGCTTTTATCCAAAGCGACTTACAATAAGTACATTCGACCAGGAAGACACAACCTTGAAGAAAACAGGAATCAATATAAGTACATTAGGCTTCATAGAGCAAAAACATTTCAAGTGCTACTCAACTGGCTTTAGATAAGCCCGTCCTTTATTAGTATATAAGTGCTTTGTTAATAGTTCTATTGCTCAAAGTGGAGTCGAAAGAGAGGAGTTTTCAGTCTGCGCTGGAAGGTGTGTAAGCTATCTGCTGTCCTGATGTCAATGGGGAGGCTCATTCCACCATTTTGGAGCCAGGATAGCAAACCCACGTGTTTCTGCTGATGGGAACTTGGGTCCCCTTCGCAGCGAGGGTTGCAATGAGTCGTTTGGCTGATGCAGAGCGTATAGTGCACGTGCTGGGGTGTACGGTTTAACCATGTCCTGGATGTAGGAAGGGCCAGATCCATTCGCAGCATGGTAAGCAAGTACCATTGTCTTGAAGTGGATTCTAGCAGTTACCGGAAGCCAGTGAAGGGAGCGGAGGAGCGGCGTGTGTGGGAACATTTAGGAAGGTTGAAGACCAGACGAGCCGCTGCATTCTGGGTGAGCTGCAGAGGTCGGATGGCACATGCAGGTAGACCAGCCAGGAGGGAGTTGCAGTAGTCTAGGCGTGAACACAAAACACAGCACTAGAAACCTAAACACAGCATGTAGTTATGGATTGAATGACAGGAAGATTCCAAAACCTAAATTAATTTTTTTTTTTAAATGTGCACAAGGACCAATTTCTATATACAATATTGTTACATGTATTAATCCAGAGTTGGAAATACTGTTTATACGGTGTGATAAAGGGGCCATATTATGTTTATTCTGGTTTCCTTTCCTGTAGTGTGTTCTAAATAGGTCTGCAAGCTGAAATCCCTGTGTTCCCTCCAGAGGGAGTATCTCCTCCCGATTACGAACCTGAACATGAGCAGAGTAGGGCCCCTTTAAGTTTACCACAATAGGCGCGTTCACACCGGAGTACTTTTCCCCATACTTTTCCCGTTTTAGTTCCGATAGTGCCTGGAATTTTGCGTTCACACCAAAAAGAGAGCTTAGTTTCCGAGAACTTTTACCCCCATTTTTGAGTGCCTGCTAGAGAGGTGGGACTATCCTGGGGAGAAAAAAAGTACCAATTTCGATTGGCTGGTGCGAATTGCAAACACGCCCCGTAAAACACTGCACAGTTTTGTGAAGCTGCCCATTGTATTTTGCTGGCATTAGCATTAGCATTAGCCCCGCGCACCAACGGAGAGAGAATAACTTATGGCAACACAAAATAACAAAGTAATTCCTCCCTCAGGGACTTATTCCGGTGTGAACGCGATATGTACCTTAGTTCCATGGGGGTACTAAGTACAGTAAAGTACTTGGTGTGAAAGCGGCTAATGGCAACACATGAGCCTTCACAGTTGCTGTCCGAGGTGCTGATTCAAATCACCAGAACCTAAACACAGTATGTCATTAAGTATCGAAAGACGTTAGAATAAAAAAATGAATATATTTTTAAAAAGTAAACATGAACAAGGAGCATTTCACATGCAAATATTGTTAGATTTCACCAAGTCAAAGTTGGAAATATATAACACTTTGTGTTAAAGGTCCCATGTCATGGCCATTTCTACTGATCATAATTCCATAGTTGAGGTCTACTAGAATAGATTTACATTGTTCAATATTCCAAACTCACTTTGGTTTCTCACAGCATCTCTGTATAGTATGTGTATTCACTCTCTGTCCTACACGGCTTGTTGGAGCTCCTGCCCCCCCCCCCCCCCTGTGAGCCCACTGTGCTCTGATTGGTCAGCTCGCCCACTCTGTTCTGATGAGTCCACCACCGTTACAGCGGAACATCAGTGATTATGGTGTTACAATGGCGTTTGTTAGCAACCAGAAAATGACACCAGTAATGACAAACAGATGAGAATGCTGCGTGGGTCTGGGTGCCGTGTTGGCGGGATGTTGCGGGGCTCGCTGCTCCGCCCTTTTAGGCTCGAGGGGTGTGAGCTGGATTACTGGGGTCGTTTCCTGGTTGCTGCGTGGGGCAGAGGTCCCGTTAGAATCTTTTTTCGCCGGTCAACATGTCCGTTAAAGTTGAATTCTTCCGGACAACATTTGAAAAGTGCCGGTCAAAGGTCTTCTTTGTTATTTATTGGGCTTTGAAACAAATTGATATGATTCGATATTAAACAAACTAATTATAGTAGATTAACTACATCATTCAAAAGTGTTCAGTAATTTATAATAACACGGGAATAATAAACGGAGCGCTCTCTCCCTCTCCTGACAGCCCGTCAGTCTCATGCAGCTCTTAGATCCAGTAATGAGTGACCCAACAGTAAAACTATAACATAAGTGGCGCAAGTTGCGCAACTATTGCGCTAAGGGGAAATTATTTTGACCGGACATTTGACCGGAGAGATTTAGATTTTCCGGTCTTCAGAATATTTTACCGGTCATAGTCCGGTAATTACCCGGCTAACGGGAACTCTGGCATGGGGTCTGCGAGACAGACACACACACTCACAGTCAGGCTGTGTGTGAGTGCGGAGATCCGCGGAGCTGCGGCTGAGAAAATATAAGGCTGAGTGAGTGAGGAGCTCGTTACGTCACTATGACCGTTACGTAACTATGACCGTTACGTCACTGTGACCGTTACGTCACTATGACCGTTACGTCACTGTGACCGTTACGTCACTATGACCGTTACGTCACTGTGACCGTTACGTCACTATGACCGTTACGTCACTGTGACCGTTACGTCACTATGACCGTTACGTCACTGTGACCGTTACGTCACTATGACTGTTACGTCACTGTGACCGTTACGTCACTATGACTGTTACGTCACTGTGACCGTTACGTCACTGTGACCGTTACGTCACTATGACCGTTACGTCACTGTGACCGTTACGTCACTGTGACCGTTAGCGTCACTATGACCGTTACGTCACTGTGACCGTTACGTCACTATGACCGTTACGTCACTGTGACCGTTACGTAACTATGACCGTTACGTCACTGTGACCGTTACGTCACTATGACTGTTACGTCACTGTGACCGTTACGTCCACTATGACCGTTACGTCACTGTGACCCGTTTACGTCACTGTGACCGTTACGTCACTGTGACCGTTACGTCACTATGACCAGGAAGAAAGAGTTGTACTCGCTACAGGATGTTACTTTGAGGGTTTGTGACTCTGCAGACCGTTTACATGCAGAAAAAGCTTCAATAACACACAAGGGGACGGGTAATAACCGGAAAAGCATGACATGGACCTTTAAGTTTTGACAGTCTGTAATGGTGTGGTGGTATATTGATTTGCTTTATTACATATATTCACCACATAATTACATGAACATCTTGTGATTATGTATCATTTATCTACAGAATAGGATTAGGGTCACATTAAATCTGGCCAATAGTGGTTTTTTCTTTTGGAGTTCTGAAATTAAAGTCAGAAAAACAAAAGTCTGAATTTAATCTCAGAACTAAAAAAAGATTGGTAAGATCTCAGGAGTCATTTCACATGCTCTTATCCTCTTCCGTATCAAATATCATTAATATTGGAGACTTTTTCTCCACAAAGTTAGCATGTTGTCTTAACATTACACAGTCACTGGATAATGGGAATGCATATGAAGACAATTGGTTTCTTTGTCAGTAAGCGTGGCTGACAGTGAATGAGTCGTCTGTAATGGAATATAATCGACTGTGGCTGTTCGTGTTTGTGACAAGTCATTTGAAACTGTAATTAAACTATTGTAAATTGCGAGTAAAACTTCTAATTGAAAGCAATAATTGGATGGCTGCCTGCATTTCTCTCACAATTTCCACTTACACCACAATGTGTTTGAGAAGCCTATCATCCAGACTCTGTATCCCTCCTCCACAGTGATGCAGTCATTCATCTTTCAGCAGCGACCTTACTTTCTTTTGGTTCCATCCATCCAGCGGGCCTTCCTGCTGGTTTCTCACGCAGAGCCGTCCAGCAGACCTTCCCGTGTGGTTAGAGTACCCTTGCCTTTAACAACTTCCCTTAAGCTAACACTGACGCTCCTTCTGCAGGGCCTCGCTCACTGAGGTGCATGTGTGGAATGAATGATCTTCAATAACAATGCACCTCAGTGACATGGAGGTATTAAGCACAGTGGTGTGAAGTCACTACTGTAAGTACATTTGCTCAAGTACTGTACTTAGGTACAATTTCGACTTGTAATTTACTTGAGTATTTCAATGTTTTGCTACTTTGTAATTTTACCCCACTAGAATTTAGAGATTACTATTGTACTTCTACTCCACTACATGTATGTAATCCCTTTAGTTACTTCACAGATCTGGATGAATGATGTGATATATAATCAAGTGTTAAATCAGACTTAGTTCCACCTGGAGTAAATCCACAAGCTGCCCTGCAGTATACAAAGTCATTCAAACTAGCTGCACCTTTACCAGCCTGAGGATGAAAGAACCAGCTCCACTCTGTTAGAGTTACTCAAATATATTCTGTCACAATTACTACAGCAGTTACCTGGAAAAAGGTGTAATCAGTATTTTAATAAAAATATAATAAAAAGTAATGTAACTTTATGCTACTTTCGGATTACATCCATATAAATTGTTATGTAAAGAAATACAAGAGAAAATAAATATCAATAAGATGTACTTATGTACTTATACTAATGTGTATTATGTCAGACAACAAAACAATGTGACCTTAGGAAAGAAGAAACCATGATATCCAGATCAGAAATGATCTTATTGATATGAGAAGCTGCCTTTCATGAAGCAGCTTCAGGCAGCAGCCTATACTGTACACCAACACTGAAACACTTGAGCACATACTACAGGTTAAAAAAGCAGAAATAAAACCTGAGCTGACAGAAAATGCTCCGTTTTACTTTAACACACACAGTTAAGCTCACACACACTATTTTATGAACATACAGGTTCACCTGCTGAATTAAAAACAGAACAAATGAACAAAGAAAGTGAAAACCATGAAGCAGATTCAGGCAGTAGAAGTATAGACTCACACTGAAAGGGGACCTATCATGCAAAATGCACTTTTGTACGTCTTTTTAAATGAATATGTGTCCCCGGTGTGTCAGGGAACTCACCAAGTGTCAGAAAACACAACCCTCTCTCTTTTCCTCCATACCCAAATCTCTAAAAACGGGGGCTGCAACGGATCTGATCCAGACTGATCCAGATTTGAAAATAGTCTGACGTCAGAAACGAGGAGCTCCGCCTATATGGCCAACTCTCCACCTATCAGGGGAATGAGAGGTTGCCATGGCATGGTAACAGCATGGTAACAGCATGGTAACAGCATGGTAACAGCATGGTAACATGACGCTCGTAACTCGCCCCCTCCTTTGCAGGGGGGCGTGGTCAGCTGCAGCGCATGCAAAGACAGGGTGGAGGAGAGCAAAATAGAGCGAAATGAGGCATGGCTAAAATGCATGATCTGTTTGGTATTTTGAAAAAAAACGTATAAAATTAAATATATACGTTTGGCCCTACACTATATTATTCAAATATAGCATGATAGGTCTCCTTTAAAGTATTATCCTACAGAACAGTACAGCTCACAGAGAAGAGAGAACATCTGATCCTTTACAACAAACACTAGATGCTCTTTTTAGGTTTTACTGACACTGTAATGCTGATGGTAATCCCCAATTTATAGAAATGTTACAGTTATCTGGTTTTTTATGTAACTGTAAGGGAACACAGTAACCTTTTTTGTACCCTTATGAGGAGATCCAGTTCCATGTAATCTGTGACCCCCCAGCCTGGTGTTTATCTGCTGCTGTGCCCCCCCCCAGGCTCAGCAGGAGACGCAGAAAGCCGCTCTGAGGTATGAGCGGGGCGTGTCCATGCACACTGCAGCCAGAGAGATGGTGTATGTGGCGGAGCAGGGTCTGCAGGCGGACAGGAACACGCTGGACCCCACCTGGCAGGAGATGCTAAACCACGCCACCGCTAAGGTACACCCCCCCCCCACCTCTCCCACACTCTGGAGTGTTCATGTGTTCTATGAGAACAATAAAAAGAGGGCTGTGAGAAAGATCTACAGATGTACTTTAAAAGAGAATCAGAAACCAGCAAGTACATTTACTGCAAAGATCCAGAGCAGACACATTGAAAAAGAGTAGGCTATACAATAAAAAGGCAAGCACACGTAATAACAATAAAATACATAATTCATAAATATGATATGTAAAAAAGTAGTAATTTAAATAAATGAAATACAAGTAATTAAATATAATAACAAGAAATTAAATATAATAAGTAGTCATTTAAAATAGTGAAAGTAAATGTACTTAAAGCTCCCATGTCACGGCCATTTCTGCTGATGATTCCATTGTTGAGGTCTACTAGAATAGATGTACATTGTTCAATGTTCCAAACTCACTTTGGTTTCTCACAGCATCTCTGTATAGTCTGTGTGTTCACTCTCTGTCCTACACGGCTTGTTAGAGCTCCTGCCCCCCCCCCCCCACCCCTCCCTGTGAGCCCAGTGGCCGTCTGCGAGACAGCGAGACACAGCGAAACCCAGCCCAAACACACCCGCATCCTGTCTGGGAGTTTGTGTGTGTGCTCACACACCGACTCACAGCCTTGCCGCGTCCCGCCGTCTCACCCCCAGTTTCCACTGGGTCCGTCTGCGCCGCGCTGCGCCGCGTCACGGCTGCGCCGCGGTTTTGGTCCGACCTCCTCTAGCGCCATAACCCACCGGACGCGTCCCAGAAGAGTCCCAGAAGCGTTTCAGAAGCGTAGCGTCGTGCGTGCAGGCTCGCAGTTTTGTTATTGATTCGGGCATCCTGGACATTTGTACTTCTACAAGAAAGTAAGTAGGCTACAGTAGGTTAAATGTTTTATTTTTGTGTCTTTTAAATTGTGTTTATTGAATGGCTCTGTACTGTACCTACAAGTATTAATTAACTTTAAAACATTAGTATGTAGTTGTTACCTTCCACTCCACAAACTGCAGCGACTAAAAACCAGGCCTTGTCCTTTCTGATGTTTGTCCTTGTAGTAAGCATTGGTTACATCATATCAAATAGTGTGTTTTTCCACTTCCATGATGAAAACCTCATCGTCCATTGTGCGTATCGTAGTGGAGGTGTTGTGATGAAGGAGGTGGGTCTGCTAAATTAGTAAATGTGGGGGATGGGCCTGGCCCGGGATGCTCACCTTTCCACTTCCTGCGAGGGGGGGGCTGCCTGCCTGACCTTAAGTTACGGCTGCGCCACGGCAAAAATAGGATTCATCCTAATTTTAGAGAAGCGCTGCGCCTAGCCGCTTCTGAGCCGTAACACACGGCGCGTGTGGTGGAATAGCACCCATTGACTAGAGTGGCCGCGATCCTTACGACCGCCGCTGCGCAAGCCGTAACGCGGCGCGGCGCAGACGGACCCGTGGAAACGGGGGTTGCGTTCCAATAGTCCATTTAGCTTATCCTTCCTAACCAAGTGAAATGACCCTGAAGTCCCTCAGTGGCAGCCATGTTAAGTGCCGTTCCAATTCTCTAGATGATAGGAAAGGAGGTTTCAAACTTCCTTTATAACCTCCTTTAGCTTAGGAACCACTGGACCTCCCCTTACCGAAAGGAGAGGAGAAAATGCTGCCCCACAATGCCTTGCAGCCGCAGCATTTGCCGTCACTCAACAGTCAACAAACGATTATGATGGAGAAATTATATCATGAAAGTTACAGTGCTAATTAAGCATTTTAAAAACGTATGTGGTAAGTTGCCAAAGTGCTTTGTTCTGAACGTTCATCAGTATTATAATCAAAGAGAGAAATATGAACGTTAGTTTTTACTGAAATGATCAAATAAAGTCAACATTCACAGTCTTTACTGAGCTGTGTGGAGTTTGTTCAACTTTTAAAAGATGTTTGAATGGTGATATACACAGTGATAGATGTTAAGGACTAACGTTTATAATAAATACATCTGTATTGATTTTAAGATCTTTTCATCAATCATACGTATTGGATCATTTGTATTAATGTGGACCGGAGGGAGAGGGTGACGAGCAGAAGTTTCACTTTCCTTTTTTATTTCAATTCCAACTTTGGTCATGAAGAATATGTTTCTCTGTTGTCCACGTTCATAAAGCATAAAGCAACAGCATCAGAGCACGGTGCAGAGTCTCTAGATGAGTTTACAGTAGTCCCTCGTTCTTATTAAACATCCATGTTGTAGTCCGCTGTATAGAAAACTGTAGTTTCCATAGTTACCCCACAGCAGCAGACGCACATTCATGACGTCCCGAGCATCATAAACACGTCGGATAGTGAAAGTGCATTCGGATTCTCTAAAGTACCGCAGTCTCTTCTCCTAAGTCCTTTTGAATTCTCCTATCCACTATCCCTTAACCCCGTGACCTTTCACTCAGAGGTCAAGGAATAGACGATAGGGTTAGAATGTAGGAGCTGATTTTTGGATTATCGGAACGCAACCTGGGGGTTAGGGAGGAGAAATCGGCGGAGCTCTATGGGCATAGATATGTCTCATAATTATTTGTGTGAACATAAAAATAATTTGTGTGTAAATATGTGATTTGTAAATGTAAAACACCATCCACAAATGCATTTAAAAGATTTGCAATCTCACAAATAAATGTGCAAGTGTAAAACGGATCTGCAAATACGCTAAATATTTTCACAAATAAAAAAAAGATCTGTGAATATCTCTTTAACATTGACAACTTTCGATCAGGCATTTGTGAATCCATTTTGTATTTGCCGACCAAAAATGCGCTTGCGGATCTCAAATCTCTGCTCGTGGATCTCACATTTCTGCTTGTGGATCGTCTTTTTACACACACGGAATTCTGAGACATATTTTCTGCCGGTCTCTTCTAAAATCTACTCGTGTCACTCGGTTATTTTCGGAAACCACGTGATGGCCCGCTGATGACGACATTTCCGCATGATTTAAAGTAAGAGCATGATGGTTTGTTTAATGCTGTTTTTTTATTATAATGAACAGCGGAACGTTAGATGCATTATTTATCACCATCATCATCATCATCATCATCATCATCATCATGTTATAGTGATACAGTTAGTTTGTGTTAGTTATTGGATCAATATAGCATAATCGAGCAGCTATTCTTTCACACACAGTGACGTCACAGCTACCCACAATGCAACGCGCGCCATATATTTTTTTATAAAGACGCCATTTTCTGGAGGTGCAAAAATCCTGGGAATGCTAATATAAACAGCTAGCTTATGTAGCCAGGCAGAGCGCACTAGGTATTTTTTCTGAATTAACGACCGAAGAAATCGCTGCATGTCTTCGGATGACATCTCTGGACTTGAGGGGTGTGCTCTAGGTCGTTACCAGCGTAAACTAGAGCTGTGTGGGTTGTTGGATGTACAATGTATGGAATTACGACCCTCAAAAGTGGCCTTCGGTCGATTTTGGCTGCATCTACGTCTATCTTCTGGAAACACCAGGTGAATACCCCACTTGTCACAATAATATTATCATGCCAACGCATATATGTGGTATTTTAGAGTTGACTATATTGATTAAGGCAATCGACTATGATATTCTGTATGCACCTCGTGTGAAATGGTTGATACCGGAAGTACGGTGTCGCCCTCGGCCCAAAACCCGTATGTGTGTGTGCTAAATACATATTTACTGTGAATGTATGCAAAAATGTATGGCATATAGCTGTCTAACAGAAGTTACATTCATTTCTCACTTATTCTGACAATGTACTTAACCCCAAATAAAGAACCCAATAAAAGAGTTGTTAAATAATAGTGAAGTCACGTCTCTCTCGAGTTTCCTTTTGAGCTTTGCCAAAAGCCACTGTGTCAATGTTGTTCTACTTGGGTTGCCGTCCGGCGTTGTCCAATATGGCGGACCATCTCGCACATGCGCACTGCAGATTGGGCATTGAGCACTTTTGAATATTTCGAATATAAGCTAAACGTTAGCATATATGCTAACTTTACATTGAAAAGGGCTTAGACAAGCTAACCGTTAGCATAAATGCTAACTTAACATTGAAAACGCCATAGACAACCTAACAGTTAGCAAAATGCTAAAATATTATGTTCTAAGAGTACTCAGATCTTGTGCTGAGTAAAAGTACTCAGATATTGTACTTGTCACCTTTTTCATACCTGATGAGTTTGCATCCCTTTATATATATATATATAAAATAATACAAATCTAAATATTCTTAATAAATAGCCTTGTCTTAATGACATGGTCAGATTGGGTCACCTTGATTTAGATATTGGGACATTCCTGGTGGGCGGAGAGAGGAATTCTCATTGTGATAGCATGACCACCTTTACAGGATATGCTGACTATTTAAAACAGGCGCTCCATATGAGGAGAGAATGGAGAGAACCATGTTGATCTAATTTTGCACTTCACTGGCAGCTAATGAAAAGGTAAGTTATGACTATACATATTTTTTACTTTTAAATGCACATATTTTACTGAACATTAACCAGGTAGCTTACATTCAGACTATGAAACTGTGTTTACATGCTTTAAAATGTAGCAATCAACATGAAGTAACTCAGTAAAAGGGGGGGGGGGTTGGTGCAGCAGGGGTAATCATTTACAAGTGGGAGGCCAGGACCAATCATCCTTTAGGGGGGTCCGGGGGCATGCTCCCCCGGGAAGATTTTTTTTTTTAAAATATTGAAGTTAAAAGCATCAATCTGGTGCACTTTGAGAGCAAATTAAACCTACCTTAATAATACCTTAAAGCGGACAAAAGGCACTGGAGAAAACTTATTCATTAACACCCTTTAATGAAGCAAACTAATGCCTTAACTCACTCAAATAGAGTCAGCAGCTGGTTGAAGTCACTTCAGATCACTGATCCAAGGAACATCCATTGAAAGAAGAACATATAAAACAAAATTAAGATTAACCATATAATTAATATGTAATACAATAAAATAAAATGCATCCTATTCTCTTACAGTACATGTGATC